TGCAGGAGCGCCGAAGACGGCCAGGCCAGTCTCGGGGAGCGCCGTCGGCACCTGTCCCAGAGACCCGGGCAGCCTCACTGTCTCGTCCTGCCCAGGTGAGCCCCGGGCTCCACACCAGTGGCTTCCTGGCAGCGCCTTTCAGCTCAGAGGAGGGGCCATCAGGAGAGACACGGCTCAGCTCACGTCCACAGGCCCATGAGCAAAACAAAAGCCAAATGCTTTTATAACCAGATTACTGGGATTTTAAAGACTGGGCAACGTTTTACGATTTCAGGAAAGTATTTATTTGCGAGAAATGGAAATACAAAAGCATAGCAATTTTGTTTTTTTTTTCCCAAAAAAAAAAACTAAGTCCACGGCCCCTACATTTATTTTTGGTGTTCACTTAGCTGTGACACGGGATCAACATGCACATACAATGAGGTGCACAGGACAGATGACGGAGCACGTGGGCCGAGTTCATCCCCTGCAGGGCTGTGTAACCTGCTACAAAGAGGAAAGCCCTGCGGCAGGGACAGGGTCGCAGTCCCGAGTCCGCTCACAGTGTCACAGTGCTGGTGGCTCACAGACTCAGAAGGCATTTTTCTCTGGAAGGGAGGTTTCCCAAGTACTGCAGGTCCCCAGGGCACAAAGCCTTGTTCTCCACTGAGCAGAGGAGGGGACAGAGAATCAGCGGAGCCCCAACCCCTGGCTTCCTTTCCCAGGATGCAAAGCCCACCAGCGGGGCCCACATGAGGTGGGATGAAAGACTGGGTGAACATCTGTGGGCACGTCCAGCATGAGTCCAGGCCGTGCTCTCGCCCTGCAGGGCCGTCGTGGGCGGACATGATGTTCCCCACAGCATAAAGGTCTGGTGAGCTCATAGGAAGGAACAAACTGCCAATCCACCCAACTGCAGACCTTCCCACATCACAGCTGCCAACCGTCGCACTGTGACGGGCCACGGAGGCGGAGTCATCCTGCGTTCTATACACTCAAGACTGGAAACTCACCGAGCCCAGCGCTGCTGACACCTGGTCAATGCTCAAGAAATGCCATTTCCACTCCTTCTAGAAAACAAGATCAAGCCTTCCTGAACCCAGATACAACAGCCCCACGTCCTCTGCCTGCATGAAGCCTCCAGGTTCAGGTGCACTGGAAATCCATGGGGGAGATAATGACCTCGCTGGCCTCTCTAAACATAGTGCAGCCAGATAATGGGACTCCTGGCTGGAGTACATGCTCTTCCCCGGATGTGCAAATCGGACAGGGACTCGGTTTTAGGAAACCATTTTTGAGCCTTGGGGAAATGGGTCCGTTCAGTCTAGGACTGTAAGGCTACGTATACAATATTCCGTGGACCTGGGGCTCACCCTGGACTCACATGTAAGGCATGTGTAAGGCACAGATAGGTATCTTTAAAGGAGGAATGTGTATGCACATACGTGACAGAGACAGTCACTCAGCCAGCCAGAGCTCTAACCAGTTATGGATTGAATTATGCTTTCCAAGTGTCTGTGTTTTCCATCCTAACCTAGACACATCACGGGGCCTCTTTTCACCTACAAGCAGGCAACGTATACAACTGCACATCAAACCAACAAGTGGATTTAAATAAAAATATGAACGACTCTAATGAATGAAGACCAGGGGTCAGAAGATTGCTGGGGTCCTATCCAGATGGCAATGTGATTTTTGTTTTGTTTCTTAATAAGAATACAAATTTATTGTCTCACGGTTCTCGAACCTTGTTGCCACTATCAGCCTCTTTTCACCCCCAGCCACCCAAGGGAGCACGGCTACCTTGCCTGTTTTCTCTCCTGGGGGTGGGTGCCTCCATTTCAAAGTTGTGCTCACACACACATCTTGGGGGACAGCTGGAGGAGGTGGTCCCATAAGGGCCTGATTCTGGCTTTATGCTTTGCTCAGTCTGAGGAGACAGGAGGGAGTACATGGAGGGGAGACCCCAGAAAGCTGAAGAATCTCAATGAGACGCCAATGCCAACACTGCTGGGCACCGAGGGGTCAACTCAGCGCCTGCTCTGTGAGTGCAGCAGGGCCATGGCTTCCCTGGGCATTCGAGCGAAACAGAAAGACTTGGGGGAATAACAAACACGGTCTTTAGAGCTGGCTGCTAAATAAGGTGATGGAAACCTGCCTTCATAATCTATGGATGAGGTCCCCAAATCAAACGTCTTCGCATTAATTCAAAAAGGCGAATAAACTCTTCTACACTGGTGTCAGAGCTCACCCTTGTCCCCGGCCATATGTCTACCCACCACTCTCTGTATGTGAGCAGGACTCCAGGGTCCAAGCACATCAGACTGATCCTGCAGCCAGCCCGCTGCCTTTCACTCAGCCTCCATCTTCAAGTGCAAAGTCGAGAGAACCATGCTGACTGATGCTCGGGCTCACCCGGGATAAGGCCGGGCTCCCTGGACTTCTCCAAGTCATCTCCGTAACCAGAGGAACCACAGAGGTGGCGGGACACCTATCTACATGACGGAAAATGCGATCAACTTATTTCTTCTTTGGAGTCCCTGGGTGGTGCAAATGGTTAATGCACTCGGCTAACCGAGAGACTGAGGTTCAAGTCCACCCGGGGCGGCTGGGAAGAAGGGCCCGGTGATCTCCTTCTGGGAAACGAGGCATGGAACTCGCTGGAGCACAGTCCTCCTTTGACACACGTGGGTCACTGTGGTATTTACATAAAAACGTACAGAGAGGGGCGAGTCTGCAGGGGCCCACACTTCTCACATCCTACCCGGGCCCTGGAGGAGCTCAAGCAGGAGAGATAAGGCAGACAGGGGCAGAGGCGGGAGGCTGCTGGCAAGCCCCCGTCCCCTGGCCCAGCCTGGTGTGCATCCGTGAGAACCAGGCAGACACAGCGTTACCAGGACAGCTTCCACACACCACCAAGGAGAAGAGTTAGGCTGTTGCCTCCCTGAGCTTCCCCACCACACCTGAGAGCTCCAAATGCACCAGAGCAGACAAGCTGGAACCCGCTCACGTGTGCAGCAAACCCAGTTACCGCTGTGGAATCAAAGGCCGTGGGTGGGTTTAATCCCTCGTCAGTACAGATGCCGATGACAATGCAGGCAGCTGGCAGACAGAGAGGGCAGAGGAGAGAGAGAGACACACAGAGAGAGAGACCCTCTCGTTCCCAGCGCTTCAGCTGTTGTAGGAGGTGCTGTTGAGTTGAGTCTGACGCCATGCATAGGGTCCCCGTGTACAAAGGAACGAAACCCCGCCCAGTCCGGCGCCATGCCCACAATCATTGCTGCGTGGAGCCCACCGCTGCAGCCACTGTGTCCATCCATCTTGTTGAGGGTCTTCTTCTTCATGGCCGACCCCTAGCTTTACCAAGCATGTTGTCAGGCGCTGTCCAGTTGGTGCCAACTCACAGTGTTCCTGGGTCCAACAGATGAAACGCCGTGCCGTCCTGTGCCCGCAGTCACCGCTATGTCTGAGCCCACTGCTGCAGCCACAGTGACAATCCATCCATCTCACTGAGGGGCTTCCTCCTCCTCACTGACCCTCTACTTTTCCAAGCATGATGTCCTTCTCCAGGGACCTGTCCCTCCTCCTAACGCATCCAAAGCACATGAGACGAAGTCTCCCCATTCTCACTTCTAAGAAGCATCCTGGCTGTGCCTCCACTTCTACTAGTAATAAAATACAAAATGTAAGTACGTTTCCTAGGCGAAATCTTTACAAGCCAGGAGACACACTTCGGGGAGCTGCTGAATGATACAATACAAAGGCAACTTCCATTTCTGGGTTGTAAGAAAAAGGAAAGTTTTTTTTCTTTAACTACAAAAGTTACTTTTACTCATTAAAAAAGAGAAGTCAAAGCAGGGAGGTGGGTTAGGTCGTCTCTTTGGGTGAACTGCAAAGCAGCAAACTTGATTATAAAGGGAAGAATGTGGGTACACAAAGGGCACCTCCACCAGCCCAGGAAGGCGCCCCAGGCCCTCTCCTGGTTGAGGCTGGGAGAGAGGAAGGCTGAGCAGGAACAGGGCTGGGGGCAGAGGCAGGTGTGGAGACAAGCTGGCAAGGCTGTCCACAGTCCCTGTTGTCAGGGTCCCCTCCATACGGGACGCAGGACAATAAACGCTCAGGCCAAGGAGCAGCAGAGCAGAGCGTGGCACATGCCATCACACTCTGAGCTCCCTCTACAGGGGACGCTACGTAAGGGGTCTCTGGGCATCACTCACAGACCTCTAGTCAGAGGGAAAGGCCACAAAGCAGGGCCTGGGGGCAATGGGACGCAGAGCTGACCATGCTCTCTCTCATAAGTCGACAGAAGCTCTGCTGGCCTGGGAGAGGCATGGAACCTTCAGTGTGGGGGCTGACAGGCAGCCCCTGAACGCTAATAAATACTATTTACACATGGGGAGGAGAAGCCGGGGAGGTGGAACTGGGGCTTGTGGGAACCAGCGTCGGGGATCCTACGAGCAGCAAGGGGACAGACGCGCCTGGAGGAGAGCCTGAGGCCTTCGGGCACCGCACGTGTGGCCTGAGATGCCAGGCCACTGCCACGACGGGGCGAGGACAGAGCGGAGGGTGTGATGGGACGCCCAGGCCCTGGGCTGCAGTCGGAGCCCCGGGAGGAGGACAGGAGGATGCGGGACCGGGAGTGCGATGTGTTTGTGGCCGGAGTCTCGGGTCTCAAACAAACGAGAGTCATCTCTCCCTCCCAGAGGCGAGGATCCCGCAGGATCTTTTTGGCACTATCGGTGGAAACAAGCCCGCTCGTTCCACGCCCAGCCCCACACCATTTCCTACGGCAGTAAGAGATGGAGGGACAGGCAAACACTGACTCCGTGCTGCGGGGGACACGGAGACGGGGGTAGGATGCTCCCACTGCCCGCAGACACACAGCCTCCTGCCATCCATAGCCCCCAACGCCCATCCACTGCTTCATCAAGATCGGGCAGCACAAAGGAAAAAGCTTATGACAGGTGGTTTGGGGATGAGGAAGTGGGGTTAGGAGGAAGGGGTGGGTGGAGGTCGCCTCTTTAAAAGGTGGTGTTCACTCTTCTGTCGAGCTGGACAACTTTCAACGTTTCGTTCCCCTCCAGCTTGGAGCTGACCCTGTGAAGGCACAGACAGGGAGAAATGTATTACCCCTTGTGTTTTGCCGTGTGACACGATCCTTCCACCACTGCCATTCTGTGAGATGGCCCATGTGTGTCTCCCAACCTTTTCCCCCCAAACAGCAATTCTCTGTCTTCAGTGTCTCCACGACCAGGCTCCCTCACCATCCACATTCTAATCTGCACCCCCACCCAAGGGCTGACATCCCAACCCAACATGGAGGCAAGATGCAGGCGTGTTCCACACTGCTTCAAAGTCCTTTACTAACAGGGCATGGTCGGCCCTTTGTTAGACTCTGGGAAGAGGGTGATACGGTCTCATTCCCATTCTAGAACAGCTCATAAGCCAGATAAAGATAAAAAAATGAACTAACTCGAAATAACAATAAATATCATAACAGACAATCACCAACCATCCACACCTAACCGTGTGTGTGTGTGCAAGTCCTCCTTCCGTGGTGACGGGTATACCCAGGTCCCTCCCCTTCCTCAGTAACAATACGTGTGGTCCTATAGAGCCCAGGAGGTACAGTGGTTGAATGCATGGCTGCTAACTGAAAGGTCAGTGGTTCGAACCCACGAGCCGCTCCATGGAGGCAATTTGCTTCTGTACAGACTGACAGCCTTAGTCAGAAAACTGACTAAGACTTAGACTGAAACCCTATGGGGCAGTTCTATTCTGTCCTACAGAGTCACTATGAGCCAGAACTGGCTTGACAGCCGTGCGTTTGATATTTGGCTCAGTAGCCCTATAAGCCCTATGTTTATAACAGGAATTTCCGCCATTACTGTCTAGAGGCAACAACTCAGACCAGGAGCCACTCACACCTTCATTTCAATACGGGGACGTGTGCACACACAATGCTGTGATATAGATATAGATGCATGATTGTTATGAAGACAGAGTCACTGGCACGTAAATTATAAAAGTGTACATTGATACACATCACACTGCTGCTAGTTGCTGTCCAGTAGATTCTGACCTGTGGAGACCCCACATGTGCAGAGCAGAACTGCTCTGTAGCGTTTCTGGCCGTTCCTTTCAAGAGCAGATTGCCAGGCCTGCCTCCCAAGTTGCCTCTGGATTGGTTCAAACTGCCAACCTTTTGGCTAGCAGAGGTGCGCTTAAGCAATCGTGCCACCCAGGGACTCCGACGTGCACCGCCATGTATGTGCTCCAGCTGGAAGGAAGCGGACGTCTGTCTCCAGGTTGTGTGTGGACGGTGCGACCCAGTTGTATGCTTGCCTGTGTGGCTCTGGGGGGAGGACGAGGACAGCGCTCCCCCTCCTGGGGCCACCACTGCCAGCCCCTTGCTGACGCAGCAGACACAGGTCTTGTCCCATTCTCGGCTCAGGGCCACTGCTGACAAGCAGCAGACTCCCACGGCCCCTGCTTCTATAAGCAGCGCCTGACGAGGTAGGGGAAGGGGACAGGCCAGGTCCAGGATAAGCCCTGCCTCCCACTCCATGGTGATGACTACGGCCCCCCAGGCACCAAGGGGGAAGCAGGTGCATCTCACTCACAGGTGCTTCTGGAGCTGCAGGAGCATGGCCTTCTCCAGGCTCGTCTCATTCGACAGCACGAACTGGGGCAGATCCACGTCCGGCTGGGACCCCAGCCCTGGCGGCCGGAGCAGGGAGGACCCCCTGTCCCAGCCCCCCAGCTCCCCCGGCGAGGCCGCGCTGGGCGTCTCCTCCAGGGGAGAGTGCTCCTCATAGGTGAGCAGGTTCCTGGACCTCACTGAGGACAGAGCAGAGCAACAATGAGCCGGGGACCCCAGGGTGCACACCTCCCCTCACCAACACCGGGGCAGGGGGACAAAGAGGACACGGGTGCCCTCATGACCCAGGATGAGGGTGCCAACTGGAGGTGGCGTTCCATAAAGTTTGTAACAATTGCACAGCATGTGAAGAGCAAGAAGACAGAAAACAAGCACAAAGCTAACCGCCACCCTGATCACACCAAAAAACACAACGCCCCAAGACTGAGCCCACAGACACCCTTCAACCTGGAGCTGAGCCCACCCCAGGACCACTGTGCAGCCAAACAGCAGACAGGCCTATGAAGCAAACAGTAACACTCAGGAGGAACGTGCTCCTCAGAACAAAACCCCATGAGACCGAGGGCAGCATCTGCCTCTAAACAAAGCTCAGACGGCAGAATGGGCAGGAAAGAAGGACAAGAGGGGAGGCACGGGCAAGGTGCTGCTACATGAGAGGGTTACAACCAATGTCACCAAAGGAAACACGTAGGAACTGCTGATGGAAAACTAATCTGCTCTATAAACTTTCATCAAACCACAATGACAAAAAGAAAAACAGAAAGAAAGAAGGACAACTGCCTAGAGACAACAACCTACATACAATGGGTGCCCCACACCAGGGGGTGAGCACAGCCAGCTACAGTTAGAAGCACCCCACCGAGGAGCCCTAAAGGAAGACAAGGGACCAGGACAGGACACTACATTTTCCTCTCAGCACCTGGAGCAAGGGCAAGACCAAGCCATCGGCCAACAGGCAGAGAGGGTCTGGCCAGGACGGAGCCAGGAGGCCCTGTGGCAATCCTCTACAACACGGAAGCAGCACTCCCATAGGCTCCCACTGAAATTCAGGGACGCGTTACCCTGGCAAGCAAAGACTTCCTGACCGGCTAGCACCTCCGCCATAAACCCGGCAGGGAAACACCTGCCAGGGAGACCAAGGTCACCCAGAGCGCCAATGCTGTCCCGACTCCAGGTCCGTGACCTTGCCATTCCACACTGGTTCCCCTCAGTGTCTGGTCTTCACATGACACCTTCACTCCACACATATTTAAAGGGGGTAACGGCCGGTGAGATTACCATCACTTCCTATCCAAGGCCTGAGTTTCCAAACCCCCTCAACCTTGGGTATAATGTTTTTTAATGCAGATGGATTCTTTCATTTTAGAAACCCTTGCCGTGGTAACAGACAACTTGACTAGGGGGAGGCAGAAACACAGGGGTGCCCTTAAATCTCATGGAAAGTTTAATGCCCCCTACCCCACACCCAAAGTTTATATCCCTCCTACTGCCATCAGCGCTTATGAAGGAGAAGTCAGAATCTATCAGAGAACGTAATCTAGAGCAGCGGAGTCTGGAACGTTCTGGGCGCCTCCGTCCAGTAGGGGAGGGGCCCCAGGGGAGGACCAGCAGCCTGGCCCCACTTCCCTCTCCCCTCCCTCCCTCTGGAGAAGCACAGAAACTGGACACATTCACGAGACCCCTTTCAGAAAGCTGAGGAACCCAGTTCTCGAGACGGGAGCAGCCACTCCCAGGTGGCCGAGCGGCTGCTTACCCACAGAGGCTGTGTACGTCTCCGGCGTGGAGTGCTGGCTGGGCAGGGCCATCTTTGTGGCAGAGGGGTAGGGCCCAGAGCCCTGGAAAATGCTGCCGAATGCCACCGCGAAGCACAACACGACGACCTGAGGGGGCAGAGCAGGGCAGGTGAGTCCAGGGCCCAGAGGGCGCTCCCCGACCCCGGGGCAGACAACGCCCAGATGCTCAAGCCCAGCGGTCTGCTCCCACACGCAAGGCCTGGCAAGATGGTAGGGGCCTGCAGGCTGAGCCCCAGGCGGGGAGACTGGGAGCTGGGGGAGGGCGGGTGGGTGCAAGTGGGTACGTGAGCCCCAGGAGGGGAGACTGGGAGCTGGGGGAGGGCGGGTGGGTGCAAGTGGGTACGTGAGCCCCAGGAGGGGAGACTGGGAGCTGGGGGAGGCGGCCCTGGGGACCCACCATGAGGCAGGTGCCAGTCTGCGTGCCGGCTAACTTGCAGGTCCGAGAAACCTTGCCCATCACCAAGGTCTGCAGCTTCTGCAGCTGCTGAAGGAGAGTCCTGCAAACACAACAAAGAAAACCATGAAGGAGGAGGTCCCAGGGGCACGAACAGTCTGCACTCAGCCAGGAGCCTGAAGGTCAGCAGTTCAAGCCCCGCAACGGCACCACGGCAGAAACCGGCCTGGCGACCCGCTTCTGCCAACATCACAGCCAAGAAACCCCCTGGGCAAGTTCTACTCTGTAACCAGGGCCCCTAAGTCACAAACCACAGTCAACGGCAACAAAGTGCTCCCTCCCAGTCTCTCTCCTGGGCTCGGGGAGGTACAGCTGCCACCGGTGGCTCTGTGCCTGGCTTTGGACAAAGAGGTCCAAGGGAGACGCCCCGGGAAGCAGCAGACAGACCTTCACTGGGGAAGCAGGGAGGCTGCGTGTTGTGCTGGGGGAGCTGCACTTGGCGTGGGGTGGGACACCCTTCCCAGACTCGGGAACGGCTGTACTGCGGCCAGTGCCATGACAAAGGTGACAACGACCCTGACTCTAACAGTCTATAATCTGACTGTTAGACGCACAAACACGCGGCCCCCGACAGACGTCTCAGGTGGGACTGGGGGAGGCCAGCAGCGGGGTGCCCTGCACGG